AAAAAAAAACTGTAAACGAGAAAAACAGAAGCGACTGACAAAACATCCATACAAGTCATCTGGTTGTATATTATAAATAGGGTTGAACTTAAATATGGAGTTTTAATAAGAAAACGTGGTTAATTATGTCCTCGGGGCCGATTCAGTTGTTATTTAAATATATATATAACATTATTATGAATGAAGTCCTACCGCGCATACGCATCATCGGAATGATTAAGGTATATATATTATATTATATTTTTCAATCGATTTATCAAAAACAATTAATCCCCAGGCGATTTCCCACGGTGTATAGGTAGCCAACAGACATCGAACATATGCAACACTCGTATAAATAGTCTTTACAACAAACAATAACGACATTTTGTATCGATTGGTCGACAAATATCAAAACAATCAACAATAGCAAACACTGCAACATTATTATTATATTTATTATTATGGCGAACATTTTCCTTCAAATATATAATAGCTGAGTATTGGTACATGAAAACATATGTTGCATTACAGTCATATATTATTACTTATATTACCTATTAATAGTGCATGCGAAAATTGCACATAGTCAATATTTTGCGTTGGCACACTACGACCCGGGATTATATTATTATCCGCAGCGATTTCGGAATATAAGAAATCACTTCAAAGAGGAACAAGATGACCTTAATATTCTGTCAAATCTCATTTTTGCGATTACATTATTGTATTATATTATATTATTATTTCTTCTCCTTTATTTTTTTTTCTGTTGTTGTTCAAAAGAGACGATTCCGCGTGCACTGCACCGTCGCATTCAAGTGTCAAACGGTTTGACGGGCGAAACGTCAACAGAATGAAAAGGGGCAGATTTCTTCTCTACATAAAGTGAATTAAAATCGCGTGCAGCCACCACCGTTTCCCGTGTTCCAGTCTTTATTGACCGCAATTTATTTTGATAGCGGTTCAAAACCCGTCTCCTTGAACGCGCACGTTCCGTCAACAATGAAGCGCATATTATAGAAAAAAAAAAATAAAAAGATATATATAATGTGTGTATAATATTATATAAGTAAGTGTATTGTACAAAATAAAATAAAAAAATCAAAGAAAGAAAAATCAAAGGCCTGAACAATAGGCCATCGCGGGAATTAGCAGCCCCTCGAGCTCTGAAATCGTGTCGGTGTAATCAGCCCGCAATAGATAATAATATTATATTGTGTCCGGGGGCCTCAACGATTTTAGACGGTATATATGCTTTTATATATTATATACCTACACATAATATAGTATATTATATTATATATTAAAACGACGGCATCGATTGTGCGTAGCGATAATAAATTTAAGAGTTTGATTTTTTACTTTTTACATCAAACAAATGATGAAAATTAATTTTATTATAGGTATATACCTATTTATCATTATTTTTATTATTTTTTTTTTCGTCAAAAAWTAGTGTAGGTACATAAGTCATAACTACCTAATTTAACTAATAGATAGACAAATAAATAAATAAACAAATAAATAGAAAKGAATTATATACCTGTATATATTGTATAGGTAATAACTATATAATTCATTTCTTTTATGCACCATTAATAATTTACATATTATATAAGTACCAACTTAAGTATTTTAAAATAAGAGCAAAATCCTTTCCATTTTCATACATCATGACTATAAAATATTAAAATTTATATAATATTATAATGTCACTCCACTATATAGCCGTATTAAGYAGATATAAACCAACAAAACATCTAAAGTAGGTATATTTAAATAAAAATATTTTATTCAAAATGGTTTTAAAGCCATAATTTTGAAATTAAAAATTGAATAATTTGTCATCATATTTATTTTGAAACTATTTTATAAGTTATATATACCTATGTCCTATATGTAAAAATCCTTTTTTCGATTCAATGGGAATGACTGRATTTTTTCAAAACATAATATTTAAATCTAATAATTTAATAATAAGTTAATATTATAATTAACATCTATTTAAGTAGATAAAAAATTTTACATACAAGTATAAGAATATGGCCTGAAAAATAGAAATATGACCTTAAAATCATAAATATGCCCTAAAAACTCAAAAAAATAACAAAATATGCAAATACATGGACGCATGTTCCAATGTCCTTGCTCTACTAATTATTTTTAGATAAGTAATACAATTTGTAATACTTAAACTTTTCTAAAATGATCAACAATTTTTAAGTTATACGAGTAACTATTAAGTTAAATTATAATCTAATTGACTCATTAAATAAATAATGTTATTAGTACTTAATAGGTACCTTATTATAATATGTATAGGTAATATTCACGATACTATATATACACATACATAACTACATAACTATACTTTAATTATAATGATATACGTATACTTATAAGTTATAACTAATCTAACTGTTATTGATTTTATTATTTTGTGACATAGAAATGTAGGATTGATCAAATTCATAATTTACCTATTTATAAAATCAAATTTTCTATAAATATATATTATTATCGCATGGACATATAATATATTAAGTATAATAATTATTAATTATACCTTAACTAGCCTAGCTAATTAACCTATAAATATATATTATTATAGATATGTTTATTTTTCAACTTCAAATTTTGTCAAGTGTTAACAGTTTCTCAAACCTCTAGTACCTATAATACCAACAGTATACACTATATGATCATCATCCTTGGACGAAGAACAATATTATCATATGAATGTCGAATGATCTGATCTTAAAAGTATTTATGAAAATTATTCGCCACACTGAATAATACTTCAATAAATTAACTTATTGTAACAATGATATTAGGTAACGCATGAATACATTACATAAATGATAATCTAAATTGTTGGCTCATATACGTATAAGTCATTAGGCKCGTCCAAGGATATAAAGCGTGAATATATTTAAATTGAAAAAAAACATTCACACATTATGTATATAATATTCTACTTGTATAATGTGCTTATAATCATAGAGTAGGTTTTGTTTAACACTTATAGCCAATGTCTG